GAAACAACGCATCATTGCTTGAAACCTTAGTTCTGTGGATCATCAACCTATAGTGTACATGTTCTATGTAAAGTCATTATATATGCGCACACTTTGACTGCACAACTTACGCAATTTGTAATCGTTTGATAAAAAATTTAAATTCTGTAACTATTAACAGAGTTGGTATTTATATTTGAAATTGTGAAATTATGTAAGAGCTTCACTTACTTGTACATGTATTTGTTCACAGACCCAAGAAATTGAGATTCTTTCCTAAAAACTTATATATGGCTTCAAAGCATGGTGAACTGGAAAAGGTTCTGTATATGCTAGGTAAATATATTTCTTCATTTGTATTCATGCATATGTACACATTGCAGTTGATTTTATTGATTCAAAATGGCCGACTGTTGGCCATTTTGTTTTAATGAATGATGTTCTGAATCATATCGCTGAGATGCCCTAACTGATCATGTTCAAACTTTTTACACATCATACAATATATTTCAATCCAACTCAAGATTGCCATTTCAATGGTAAAATTCAGTAACTAAAATCAAGTATTTCTGCTATTCCAAAACTCAATCTTGGTAGTGTCTTGATAGATTTCATCTAAATGTATATACACTGGACATTATATGTGCCTTGATGCACGTAATTTTGTTTTCTCATATCCTATTCAAAATGGCCAACTAATTTGGGTTAAACCTGAATAAGTCTAAATGCTATAAAATAAATGATTTATGTGATAGATATTTTTGTGTGATTAAACTGTGATTATGTTTGATTTGACAGCGGAAGGTTTTGATCCAAACTGCAAGTTTGTTGCTTTCAATAATTCCACAGCTTTACATGGAGCCGCTATGAACGGCCATGTTGTCATATTATCTGTAATTCTACAATCCGATGGTAATATTGATTCCATTGATGCTAAAAGTAGAACGCCGTTGGTATGTAATCTTCTGTCGTCACTCTTAAGATTATTCAGCAGACTAGTAGTCAAAATGCTTTCAAATCTTATTCATGTGGTTTTGTTTCTCAGTTATGTCACTGAAAAATTAACCGAATAAATCTGTTTCTGTTATCAAGCTTATGTATTTGTGCAATTCTTGAGTTTAGATGCTAGGCCAGCAAAAACAAACCTCTCCTTTGCCCGACAATACCTGAAAACCTGGCACCATTATCTCTTCATTTAAATTTGATTTTAATATTAAAAAAAACAAATGAAACTGCCTATTCTGCCACAGGTGGTGCCCTTACTGCTCCAACGTCCTCTCAGCAGTGTCTCTTCTTGATGACACTAGGTGATTCAATTGGTAATTATTATTTAAACAAACATTAAGTGCAATACAAAAATCTACAAGGATGTATATTTAGAGAGAGAAAATATCTGCACAGATTAAAAAATAAAATCCTGTAAATAAACTGACAGAAAAACAAAATGAAAAGAGTTCATTATGTACCTCCTTCCTTAACCCTAAACACACACATCCTATTCAATTATATACATCAATCCTTGCACGTATATATACATGTAAGTATTAATATATATTTAAAAAAAAATAGATTATGTTTGAAAAACAAAACTTAATCCAAAACTAAAAAAAATTGCTACGGGTTCTCTATCATCTCTCTTACCAGACAGCCTGCAACCATCAGTTTCTTACTTGTGATTTGGATCAAACTTTTCCAACTTTTTTGAAAGTTTCAAAGCATATTTTAAGAATGATGACAAATGATTTTAACACCTTTGCAGCTGAACTGATAATGACATTTTCCTCTATCTGTACATGTGCTTGCTCTTTTTGACCAGTCAGTGCTGTAACCAAAACAATGATAGCAAATATCTATTTAAAATAACTAACAACATTGTTTTTTTTGTTGTTTTTTTTGTAGATGGAAGCTTGTGAGTTTAATCAAATGGAATGTGTTCAGTATCTAGTAAAGGCTGGTGCTAATATAAACGCCCGGGTGAGAAAAAATAATCATTTCTATTCCTTCTATATCTGAGTTTGAAACTATTGATGATCTTGTTCATTTCAGCAGAAAATATGAAAAAATTTAATAGAAATTGTATTTACTGTGCTGTTGTCTTTGTCGAGCAAAGCTTATCATATGAGTGATTGTCCGTCATCCAGGTCAACTTTTTAGCTCCGCTGTCGACTTTGTCTAGCGGAACTTATCATATGAGTTATTGTCTGTCGGCGTATGTCGTCCGCGTCAACTTTTTACTTTTTGGACTTCTTCTTTAAAACTACTAGCCTGATTGCTTTGATACTTGGTGTATATGTACCTCTGGTAGATCTCACTAAGATTTGTTCATTTCATGATCATATCATTAATTTTTGTGATTATTTTTGTCATTTTTGGTAAAAAGTGATATTCCTCAGCCGAGAGGCTGCTTGTTTCAATAAAAGTTGTAATGACTGACATATTTTTGTTCACAGGAAGATGACGGTATGAGCTGCCTTCATTTAGCAGCAAAGGCCGGCCATTTGGAAGTTGTAAAGTACATTCAGCAAACACACTCCATAGACATCAATATACAGGTACAAAACAAATTTGTTCATGTTTAAAAATACTCTTTTGTGATTTTAATACTAATGTGTAACTACAAATTTAGTTTAGAAAACTTAGTTCTCATTGCTGTATCAGTTAACCTTAGCTGTCCTTTGACCTAGTAGGTCACTGACTAAATAACCAATCAGACAGCTTGTACCATCAATATTAAAAATGGCTGACTCTATTTAAAGTCTTAATTGTAACTTTTGTTTGCAATGTTATAAAAAATTCTCCATACAATAAAATAATGGGTATGTAATTTTACAAAATATTGGTGTTTTTTTTCTTGAAATGATGCTAGATAAACCAATTGAACAATTGAAATGATGGAACTTGTGTTAACCATATCAACTATTTTTTTCAAAATGCCCACACAAATGTATTTCTGTAAAAATTATGTTTGGATCAAGTTTAAAATGATGGATTTGTCTCCTATAAATAAACTGTACAATTATGAAGTTACTTACATAAAATGTTCTCACTAGGATGATGGTGGCTGGACAGCGATGATCTGGGCATCAGAAAATCGACATAAATCAGTTGTGGAGTTTTTACTGGAACATGGTTCAGACCCTCATATTAGAGATAATGTAAGTGTAATTTACTGTCTCATAAATTCCTTACATTATAGTTTTCATACACTGTATTTCATCTTCCATTTGGTTAATATATAATTTGTTTAATATACAATTACTATTACCGATCGATTTCTGATTTTCATTATACTTATTTCAGGAAGAAAATATCAGTCTTCATTGGGCTGTGTACGGAGGATGTGAAGAAATAGCTGAGTTATTTTTAAATGCCAAATGTAATTTACATTGTATCAATGTTCATGGTGATACACCTCTGTAAGTTATCGTCATGACTTCACGAAACGTTGTATACTCCTGTCTTTCAAGCTCCTACTAAGGCTTAAAAAAAAGAATATGTTTCTCGTTTCCGCACACACATCAATTCACCACGTTCAATTACCCTCTGCATAATTTTTAACTATGCGCCTCAAACGTTTTTTTCCCTCTAAGCATTCTAAAATGCGCTTGTACTCGCACTTGTCTCAAGTTTCCCCCATTTTAGTTCAGTATCCAAAAAAAAAAAAAAAAAAACTGCCTCGCCGCAGAGAAACGAGAAACAAGAGAATTTTTTTTCCCTGGCTTAAAGTAAACATTTTTTTTTTAATCTTCAGATCCGTATATCATTCTTTTAAACACAAATTGTTGTGAATACTCTGAGATGGATCATTTCTCTTGTGCAGCACAATAATTTCTGTACTACTATACACATCGACTTGTGTATTGTGTAGTATACTTGGTCCCATGTATAGTGTCATCGTCATATGTCCATTTCTATACAACTATTGATATTAGATTTAATGAATTTTACTGAGATTTGTGTATTGTTCCACAAATCTGTAATGCAAAAGTGGAAATAACATGCCAAAATTGTATAGAGAAATTTACAATTCAAGAACACAAAACAAATGACTAACAATTGAAAAGACATTCTATAAGAATACAAGAACATGTACACCACGCTACATAGTTTCACTGGACATTTTATTCGAAATAAATATGCTGTGAACACACCATAGACTTCCACAACACTCTGTAGTTGAGAATTAGATTATATTGTCATACAATTACATGTAATTAAAAAAAAAAATTAACAAAAATAAAAAAACTTTTGATATCTTTTTTTACGTTTCTTTTTTTTCCCCATCCACAGTCATATTGCTGCTAGAGAAAACCACTATGTATGTGTCGAGTAAGTAATCATCAGTTACTGATACTTCACACTAAGGCCAGACTTTTATTATCCCCCGTCAAGCGTAATTTCTCACGCCCGCCAATTTGTAAGTGCAAGAAATTGCTAAAAAAAACTTATTTTTATCTTCATTTTTGTTCCGCCCGCCGCATAACAATCCCAAGTTGCATTTTCATGGGAGTATCATGATCAAAGTACCAAAGTCTCGCGCAGATGAGAAACAAGATTATACATGGAATAACATTTTATTTCATTTCTTCTCTCTGATCAATGATCTCACACAAATCTAATGGAAAAAAAAGAATTAATTTTATTTTATTTCCGCCCTCGAAAAAAATGCCTTATGAAAACTTGAGAAACAAGGAAGAAAAAAAGTCTGGCCTAAATGTCATTGCTGTGAATAATACGCACCGTGGTCATCTGATTGAATATAATATAACAATTTTATCTTCACAGGTTGCTTTTATCAAGAGGAGCAGATATCAATGCTAAGAACAAAGAAGGAGAAACACCTCTTGACTGTTGTCAACCGAACTCAAAAACTTGGACCTCCTTACAAGTAAACATGAGAATGAAACAAGCAGCAGCAAATAGAAAAAAACGCACAGAAAAAATTTTACATCGGTAAGATTATATACTTACGTAGATATTTAAATATTTGTTTAGTTGTCAAGTATGTGTGGATACTGTACTAGAAGAGACTATCAGCGATGGCCGAGTTATTTTCATTGTATTCTGTATTTGCCATATGAACTAAAAAATGCATTTGTACACTAAATCAATGACTTATTTGAACTTATTTTAAAACTCAAGAAACACTTTCATAAATTGCGCATACACATTAGTGCATACGCTACTTAATAGCACAAATATGGTATTAAAATTAAGTAGATGCAGTGCTTTCGCGAGTTGAATTGTCTATCAATATAAACCAAGCCATTTAATACGCATATAGAATAAAACGAAAATATTATATATTTTGGCAATTTTGTTTCCACATTTTGTTATAATCAAATAAAAAATATAAAAATTTTTACCATCTTCTAGAAATTCTTCATTTTTTTCATTTTGATATGGTTCTAGCTAAATTTTATGCAGACTTATAAGATGTTTCCAGATCACATCATTTTGTTTGAACATCTCATCAAAGTCATTAGCAACAATGTAGATATAGCATGTCCTGTCTACAGTACTGTGAGGATTAAATTGATAGTCATTTGTGAACTGATTATCGATGACCATGAAATATACAGACATAGAGGCACAACACTACTAATTGAATCACTATAGTTGGTAATGCTAACATTGAGTGTAAACCACTACATCAAAAATAATTGCTGAACCAAGCTTCTATCATTTAGGTGTATAATTCAGTTTTTCACAGAATATCCATGAAATTTTGTGATAAATTGCAATGAACTTGACATACTATTTATTCTGCCATTTTGAGCCACATCAATGATACTACTTTTTACATATCAATACTCTTGGGTGATCAAGTAACATATAACACCATTAAAAAAAAAATATGTATTCTGTCACATGGTATAAAGTAGTCCAAAAAATGTAACATGTTTGTATGTTAATTTAACAGAGACATTTCTCGTGGACGAGAAAACATTCCAATTCCCATAGTGAATGGCATTGATGACTGTCTACCTCCGGATGATTTCTTGTATATTACCCAGTGTTGTGAGACGGCACCACTTAGTATTGATATGAATATACGCCATGTTCAGGGATGTCGATGTCAAGATGATTGTCTAACTCTAGGATGTATATGTGCTATTAGTAGCGTGCAATGCTGGTATGAAAAGGTAAACGTTATAACCAACAATTAATCATCTGAACAACCTAATTGTTCCCTTCAAAATGTTGGTTCAACAATTTTAAGGTGAAGTCTGAAATCGAGGACTGACCCACATTCGAAGCCACTTCTCAGACATGCTTTGACTGATCACATTTAAACTAATTGGACATTGTTCTTCTGATAATTGTATTACTATCAGGTGAATGTTATGCTAATTAGGCAATTAGTATGCAAAGAACATTTCTGTTATCTCCAGATCTTGAACACAATGGTTTATTTAGTTAAGTAGTTGACTACCTTGAAGTGCCACTGTTGCATTTGGTGTGGGTCCCACACTACAGTGTCTCAATTTGGATGTTGATATTTTGTATTCCTCACAGTCAACCTTTGTTGGTACATATTTAAGAATGAATGCATTTGAATTATTTTTGTACAAATATTTTTCATGACTTTCATTATAGGATGGAAGATTAACAAAAGATTTTAATGCATTAGAACCGCCATTGTTGTTTGAGTGTAACAGAGCTTGTGGTTGCTGGAACACTTGTAATAATCGTGTTATACAAAATGGCAGTCGCTGTCATCTACAATTGTATCGAACTAACAGAATGGGATGGGGCTTGCGTACAATTAAAGATGTACCTCAGGGAACCTTTGTCTGCGAGTAAGTATAATTTCCTGCAATAAAACATTGCAGACACATTTGCTACATAATGGAAATCCACAGAAATCTTAAAAAATACATAAATAAGTTCATACATTCCATACACACACAAACATTTAGCAAAAATACACAGAAATTCATTCACATACACATTGTACATTGAAATTCATTCAAATACACGCAAAAGCATAGAAATCTATACAAATACACACAAGTACATTGAAATCCATCCAAATACATGTAAATACATTGAAATCCATACAAATATACACAAATACATAGAAATCCATTCAAATACACGCAAATACATTGAAATCCATACAAATACAAGCAAATACATTGAAATCCATACAAATACAAGCAAATACATTGAAATCCATACAAATACAATTAAATACATATAAATACAAGCAAATACATGCTAAAAATGCTAAAAATAAACCTGGTGAATATTTCTCTTACTAAACAGAAATACACATATCCCATACAAATACAAACAAACACAACTGTAGATGCAAATAAGCCTGAATCCATACAGCTTGCCACTTGACTTTGCCGTAGGTATTACTGTAAAATCTATATTAGAAGCTGCATTCCTAATACAAGCCATGTCCCTTTTTCTAAACAATTGACAGCCAAAATTCACGATTTCACATACATGTATGCTCCAATAAAAGCTGCATCCCCTCTGTTGCATTACACAATTGTAATAGAAGCCGCGGCATTGATTCCAGATTTTACAGTACTTGATATATGTTTTTAAAATGATTGATTGTGTTTATTTGTCAATCCTGATATTTTCTGTTATTATTAGATATATAGGAGAAATTATATCTGATGAAGAGGCTGACAGAAGACAAGATGATTCTTATTTGTTTGACTTAGAAAACAGGGTATGTACTAAATCCTTTTATTTAACAGTTTTGTAACTGTCGATCTAATTGTGTTATTTTTCACATTGAATATGATCTATAACACCAACTTTGATTGGTGGAGATTTATTTCCAGTTCTGTTTATGCTGTATTGCCATTTCTCCTGGATAACCCTTAGAACAGTTTTTCTTCTACATGTGTGCCTTATTTTCATGAAATTCTCTCAGTTACCTATTCAGGTTTCTCAGAAAAATTGGGTACTCTGAGAATTTCTTTTTATCTTTTTCTGTATTATATATATTCAAATTTACCCAATTCAAGGTGATTCTCAGGATGAAATCACAATATTTCGACGATATACGTAGTAAGCACATTATGTGTTGATGCCCCACATTTTTCAGGTCTACTATTGTATTTTTACACACATTGTGATATCGAACACATACAGTCAGGTGAATACTAACACATATGTTCTCCATATTCTTTTTTTATAGGAGGGAGAAATTTTTTGTTTAGATGCTCGTCACTATGGTAACATAAGCCGGTTTATCAACCATTTATGTGATCCCAACCTGGTGCCCGTCCGGTTCTTTGTTGATCACCAGGATTTAAGATTTCCAAGAATAGCTTTCTTCACTTCTAGAGATGTGAAAGCATATGAAGAGTTGGGGTATGTATCGGGGTTGCTACAAACATGATACCATTTATTTTTACATACATAACATGTATCTCAATAGTGAAAAAAAACCATATGGTACAGGTTTTCACTCTTTTATATCATCAACTGTGTAAACCTTTCCTGTTTTCAAGCAACACTTTAGTTTTTTAGCTCCGCTGTCGACTTTGTCGAGCACAGCTTATCATATGAGTGATTGTCTGTCGTCCTGCGTCCATCGTCCGTGTCAATGTTTTACTTATTCGACTTCTTGAAAACTACAAGCCTGAATGCTTTGATACTTGGTGTATATGTACCTTGGGTAGACCTCTCTCAGATTTGTTCATTTCATGATCATATCTTCAATTCTCTAATTTTGGTGAATATTCTGTCATTTTTGGTAAAAAGTGATAATTTTCGACTTCTTGTTAAAAACCGCAAGTCCAATTGCTTTGATATTACATATATAGGTACTACATGTGGATCTCTCTCAGATTTGTTCATTTTGTAATGATATCTTCAATTCTCTAATTTTGATATTACATATGTAGGTGTACTACATGTAGACCTCTCTCAGATTTGTTCATTTTGTAATGATATTTTCAATTCTCTAATTTTGGTGAATATTTTTGTCATTTTTGGTAAAAAGTGATATTTTTGACTTCTCGTTAAAAACCGCAAGTCCAATTGCTTTGATATTGCATATATACATGTAGGTACTACATGGGGATCTCTCTCAGATTTGTTCAATTCATGATGATATCTTTAATTTTCTAATTTTGG